ATGTAAGCGCGGAATTAACCAATAAACCAACCCAGTTCATTTCAAAGATTAAGTTATTTTCTATCTCTGCCCAAAAGTGAGTAAAAGAGAAAAGCGCGATAAAACGCCGGATATTTGAATTAATCTCGGCTTCCGTTCCTCCCCCCAAAATACGAGCTGTCTGGCAGATGAGAACAGAAAGAAACGACTAGCTAGCTGAAGTAAGTACTGCTTTGTGAATAAGCTGTTATCTTAAGGACTGTAGCAGGAACGCGAGGAGAGAAGCGGCAGATATCTGAATGGAGTTTGGCGTTAGGTGCATGTACTGTGTACTGTATTGAGGAGCGATGTCACCTGTTGCTTGTTCATGGTGTCACCGTATGTTACAGTTCCCTTCGGTTTAAAACAGCGTGGTTGTAAATAACACTGTCCATATTCGCAATATCAGAACTTACCCAGCTTGCGAAGGAAAAGGCCCCCAGAACAGCTCCCATGGCTGTCCAGTTTCAGTACAGGAGCGGACAGTCCGTAAATCCGTGTTCTTCTCCCCGTTACTTCTCCTCTGTCCCTCCAGGACCGCGGTTCTAACACAGCAGGTGTAAATGAAGCGTGTGGCCGGTGCGCAGGGCAGAACACGGACTGTTAGAACAGCTCATATATTCACTGTGAACCCTGGATGCGAAAGCTCAGTGAGGTTGGCTCGTGTGCTACAGTTATGATTTTCCGCTCAGTGCGTGCAAGGTCTGTGCGTCATGCTGGGTTACGTCATTACGACATGTCAACTGTACAGCGACTCGAGCAGCGCGCCATGTGGACTGATCTGTTCTATTTACTTAATCAGTTCCATATCTGTGGAAGCCCATTGCCGCCAAAACATTAGACATTATAATGAGAAACTTTCTCAGTATTTAGAATTAGTATCTGAATATTTTGGGACACTTAATCAATATTTTGATTATGTTTCTCATTACAATGACTTACAAAATCTTTTTTCACATTGGAAGAAATGGACTTCCATACATTTCAGTCAGATCTTATTTATATATATTCAACAATTAAGTACTCATAACATTTAGCCTAATTGCACACTTCATGTAGCCTATACAAGTGTATAGACTGTACTGAGATTTGTGCAAAAGAAAGAGACAGATCAGATAAAATGAATACACATTGGAATTGCTGGAAGCAGAATGAGATTACTGTGCTAGCGGGTGGAACGCTGCACTGAAGCTAACCTGTTTTGACTTGTGATGCCGCCTGATATTAGCAACCTAACATACAGCAGTCGTCATTTGGCAAATTAAACCCAGTGGTTCAGGTTTGGTATGAGGTGGCAAAATAAAGGCAAATTCATCAGTCTGTGTATTGTGTATGTATTCATTTATAGTATATATAGTGTAGTAAATGAACACACACATGTCTTAAGTTAAATATCACTGAGGTATAGTGTCAGAACTCAGAAAGTCTGTTTTCATGCTTTTAATTTGACATTATCAGTCAGGAAATAGGTTGCTTGCCAGCTTCATGTCTGTCACACAAGGAGCAGACCAAACATGAATACAGTTCAAACAATCAAAGAAACACACCAGTGCACATAGGTTGATTACGTTCGGGCCAAATAAAACAAAATGCCCCTGAAATGTTGCTGAAGCATGATCGGAAACATTAATCCACTTTAAACCCTACTGATAGCATGAATGATGTGGCTAACAGTACCATCGTGTGGCCTCTTGGTGTCAGTAACCTTCTATGAGAGACCATTTACACAAAATATTTTCACTATTTATTGTAGTTGATCCGTTGTTCTCTACTGTTATTGTTATGCATTGAATATAATTGGAATTATCCATAAAATATGTCACTTTGTCAATTTACTTAATGGTAGAAAAAGGCTCCCTTAAGAAAATAAGTTGAAAACCACTGCTCTAAGTGATAAGTTCAATGACAAAAGACATGTATTTGGGAAACTGGTTCTGCAGCACATAAAGAACAACATCCCTGCCCTCCACTCAGTTTTCACACACCTTGAGAAACCCAACACCTACGTCAGAATGCTGTTTATTGGTTTCAGCTCAGCACTGAACACAATCTCCCCCATGAAACTGATTGGTAGACAGTTTGAATTGGTGGTTACACCTCCTCCACTCTAGAGCACCGTCACTGGTCGGATTTCAAACAATGATGAGACTTCATATCAGGAGGAAACCAGCAGTCTTGCACAGAACACAACCTACTGCTTAACGTCAGCAATACCCAGGAGCTGATTGTTGATTTTAGGAGAAAAGAGGCAAAGATACACAACTCTGTTTACATCAGTGGAGCTGAGGTGGAGCATGTGCACAGTTTTAGGTTCCTGGGAATCCACATCACAGAGAACCTGTCATGGTCCTCCTCGCACATATAAGAAAGCACAGAAACGACTGTATTTCTTGCTCATGGACATTTTGATATGTGGCGGGAGGAGCCGGGGATCGAACCAACAACCTTCCGTTTAGTGGCCGACCCGCTCTTCCTCTGAGCCACAGCTGCCAAATCAGCAGATATTTCTGCCACACCTTAAAGTCCCCATGCCACCCTCTGAACACCCTATCAATATTTTTTTTTTGCCAGTCATACTGATAGATTTGGGTATTTTATTGCAAACAAACAGAAATTGACTCTTGGATCTTTTAACACTGAGAAATAACTTGTTTAACTGGAAGCATTAAATAAGCTATAGTTCCACATTACTGTAGCTAATGAAAGGGAAACACAAGGTTGCAAATTCATTATGAAAATAAAGTTGTTGACTATATATTTTAAGAATATGATAAAAATATAGATTCAATGTCACTATAATGTCTGTCTGTCGCTCATAGGCATGAGTCAGTAAAATGTTGTAGCAGCAGAATGATGACCCAACCGAGGTCAGCTATAAAGCTCTACAGAGAGAGAGCTATTGGAGAAGTGAAGCCGCGGAAGGAAACTTCCAGGTAAACGGACCTCATTGGACAACTAACTTGTGGTTTACTTATATTGTGAAAAACTGAACAGCTGGGAACTGGCCTTTAGTGGACCCCCTCATCAGTGACCACCTGCTGGCTGGAGATGCCCTGAGTCGGGCAATGAGCCTGCAGGTGAGCCAACTTTTAAATCAATATAATTCAATTTTCAAACACTAACTCAGTTGATCAGCAGATGAGATGTGTCGGGATCAGGAGGTCTGGTGAACCTGTTCGAGCCCAATCTGCAGACACTGACACTCCAGCACTCACTTCCACTCCACACTTATACACCCACAATTCCCATCATGCAACCGCTCCGTGAACTAGACACATCAAACTTACTGATCGCTCAATGTAACACATGCGGCACTGACCAAACGCACAGTCAGCAGAACGATACATGGTCATTCCAGGCAGCGCGTGAAGACCGAAGACCTGCAGGACAGTCAGTCAGTGGGTCAGCTTCCTGCAGTACACACAACCAGAGACACTGAAGACACTGCTGCTTCCAGGACAGGAATTAATCACAGCAACACACATCTCAACAACCCGGAGTTGTGTTGTGTGGGGCGGCTGTGGCTCAGACTGAACCCAAAATTGCTCCTGATGCCATGCATCAGTGTGTGAATGTGTATGAATGAGTTAGTTTCTGTTCGATGGACTTAGCCATTGTTGAGTGAATGATCACTGATGCTGACAGTCTTACCTTTGCGGCCAACAAATTTTTTGTTTTAGGAAACAAGCTGTTTCCATTTATAAATATGCGGAACTAAACAGGTCAAATTTGATAAATTAATTCATGCCTACATTTATTTGTTTCATGTTTGGATAATTTAATGGCATATTCATTTATTTATTAAGTAATTTTTTATTGTTTTTATGTTGGCAGTTCAAGTCCTCCATAAATAACTACTTGTTATTTAGACATAATCTATTTCAATTTGTGTTACTTTTCATAACTGTATTTGTGAACTTGTGTTAGCACACACTATATTAAACTTGGCTAATAGAAGTCCACATTTTGTCCCTGAACAAAGCGTTATAAGATTTGTTGGCACTGTTTCGCCCTCACACATACTAGACGTCATCAAAAAGACACTTACAGTGAGTCAGTTTTCTGTGCTTGTGATTGCTGATACACACTGTTACTGTGTGCATCCTGACAGCAAAAGCCAAGTGTTTTACCATGTTGGTGTCAGTGCTCGGTGGCCTCCAGTAGCTCTGGTCTTGGAGGTGAGCTGGCACGTCACACATTTGTAATGATTAACATACAGTTTATGACGGGAATCAACTTCATTCAACACAAGTTTATTTCACTGAACGCTGAATACATCTGTTACTCCCTCCAACCTGTTGAGTTCACTCAAGGCTATTTCTGTTTCTTTGTTGTGCTGCAATGTCACATTTTACTTTACAGCACTAAAAGTGATCAATTAAAAACTGACAAAAAGATACATTGACCTAAAATGTCTTTATATTAAATATACATATTTATGGCCAGTTGATACACACAACATACGCACAACTGTTTACAACATACAACGATGTAGCTTTAGTAATTACTCCGTTTAATTTAAAATTTTAAGAGATATATATTCAAACATATATGTAAATATGAAAAATACCCTGAAACCACAGAGGTCTGTCAAAATCTTAATTTTGTGTTTTAAAATAAAACATGATTGAAAGCATTGAATGCATTTAATTCAATTAAATTAAATTCAATTTTATTTGCATCAGCGTCAATTCATAACAGAAGTTATCCTCCAGAACTTTTCAAATAGAGCAGGTTTAGACCATACTCCTTAAAACATTATTTTATTATTATTATTTATAGTATTAACATGTCTCTGCTTCTATCTGAAACGCAATACACAATTTTTACTTTGTTATATTTTATCCCTTTATTATATTTTTATTTACTGCTTTTTAAATGGTAAATAAGTTAATTTTAAGTGTTGCCAATCTAATGTGCACATGATGTCAGTGTTACTAGGCATTAAAGGCTTTCCTAATAATAACCATGATTAAAAAAAACTTTATTTATACAGCACTTTTCAAAACAAAGTGGCTTACATGGCTTACATTATAAACGTTTCAGGAAGCAATGAGGCAAAATAAAATTAGACAATTAAAATCATATAAATGTGAGGTAGAATACAAATACAAGAAACAGATAAAACGTATTGCCAATTAACTGCACTGGGGCAAATAAATACAAAAAGCTTAATTTCATATGATATCCATACAGTATATTTATTTAAAAAAATAATATTACCACATGCAGGCTCTAGATGTTTCTTTACAGTCAGTTTAAATATTCAAGATCCTGTCTTGGGCAGCAAGTATACAGCAGTTCATTAGTTCACAGTAAATGATGAGATCATATAAAGGCATTGTGGAAAACCCCACTGACTGAACCACATCATTATTTTAACAAAAATACTATCTCCGGCCAGTATATTAACAAAAACACTAACAGCAAAACAGTCAGTGAGGAGTGCAGTCCAGCTGCTGTCGTTTTTGCTTTCTGTCAGCAGATGGAGGAGTTTCATAAGCGGTTAGCTATAGGGCAGGGGTAGGAAACCTGTGGCTCCGGAGCCACATGTGGAAATAAATGGTATCAGTTCTAGGTGAGCTATCAGAATGCCCCGTGATTACTGAGTCTCCCTAAGCCATGGTTTCAAATCCCAAAAACAAAAAGGAGAGAATTAAATAGTGCATGGACAGATTTGTTTGTTTTCACCACCAACACTGTAATACCAGATAAGTTAATTTAACTCGAAAAATTGTTGAATTTTTAAGGAATACAAACTCGTCTTGATTATGCCACTTTTACTTGTAATTTTAAGTGACACTAACGTAGTTTTGTGCCAACTCTTTACTAGGCATTTTGTTTTCACAGTACAAATAAAAGTCAGTGTCACTTAAAATTACTAAAGCTACTTGATTAAATAATTGATTTTTTTAGTTAAATGAACTTATCTGGTTTTACTTTTTTCAATCTTTTGCCTGTGACTGATCATGTAATCAGTATCGTAATCAGTGCCACTTATCCAATTTGCTGTTCAGTGACTACTGCGTATGTTGCGTAACTCTAGTCTGTGACGATCCACACCAGAGCATACCAAACAGGCGAACATTTCCCTACACACAACACTCTCTATATGTTGTTGGGAAGAATTCCCTCTTAAGTCCCAATTTGTCATTTCTATGTGGAGAAGATTCCTTGCAAGAGATCAAGATGAAACTGTTAGCCCAGAATTAATTATATTAACAATGTCACCTGCTACAGAGTGATTTAAGGCCAGAAATCAACAGCAGGAAAATGCAAAGAATTCACTGATAAAATTCACATCACAAAAGCATATATATATATATATATATATATGGCCTAATTTAAGACATAAAAATGTTGCCTAGTGCAATGTCACAGAAATTGCCTTGAACTATATTATGCCACCACTGTAAAATAAAATAAAGCAACACAGGTATGTACTGTATGTGCTCCACCTCGTGTCTTTGGGCTTTGCACAACTTCAGTAAATAATGTTGATGATGGTACAGGAATTTAACCGCAATGTCATGTGTACTCACTTCAAGTCACTCAAGATTAGTATGAGCTGAACTTAATGAGAGTAAAAGCAACCTACCTCATTTGTGACCTTTGCACCAAAGAGCCAGCCAGCTCCTCTGGGGCTGATGGCCCAAGTGTCCACGTCCTCAGGGTCCGACCACACCAGATCACAAAACGCTCCTTTGTGAGGGATCTCCTGGTTCCGCTCAATGGTTCGAATCTGATCTAGAGTTTTTATGTCTGGGGACAGGCCTCCATGGACACACAGGATCTGCTCATCCATCAGCTGAAAAAATAAAATAAGAATACCCCCTAAATAGACAGAGTTAGGACATGATACATGTATTATGAATACAGTTGGGAATGTGTGATTAAGGGTTACAGACCATACATACCTAATACTACATAACAGTAACTAAGGAATGTGGGATTTTCGAGTTGGAAATGACGTGGTTTACCACGCAAAAACAAATTGGCTCCTTCTAAGCTATAGGTTTTTTGAAAAAGCATCAGTTGCTTGGTTTAACAACAGCAGTGTTAACATGCTGTGGTTTGGAACAGACAACTGTCTGAAATACAGTGACATTACTAATGATGAGGTAAAAGATATGAACAGAATATAATACATCAAAAGTGTATTGATTTTTAAGCTGTAGGTGAACCTATGTTAGCTAAGAGAATAGGCTATCACTTACAGGTAATGTTGGCTAAATCATATGAGATGTTGTTAAACCCAAAGCTGATTGGCTGCCAAAAATATGAATTTGGTAAACTGTAAATTCACTCAAAATGTGAAAAAAGTCAATTTGATATTGAGATAAATAATTGTATATATGGATATATAATGGCATGGGGCATGGATCTGAGATGATTCAGAAAAATGCGATTACAAAAGAGTGAAGTGTGAAGGTTAGGGAGATGGATAGATGAGTACTCAAATCATCTCATATATATATACACACAATAAAACAAAAACCTGTCCTACCAAAACAATGTTGCGATAGAGTGACATAGTTTTGCTATCTGTAATATTTTTCCATGTCAAACATAA